GCATAAGGAATAACTGTTCCAATCATTTTTATCCGATTGTGAAACATAAATTTATAACATTTAATACCATCCTATTGACACAACGGTCTAATAAAAAAAATTAGTTTTTAATAAAAAAATTTTATTAGCTTTTAGTTTTTTATCTAGCCAATTTAGTTAAGGTCTAACGATGGGCCTCTTGAACATTCAGCTGTTAGGTGATACAGCCAGCCAATCAAATTTCTTCCCTCTCCAAGTTGGGATTTTGTATATTCCGAGAAGCATTAGACACTGAATGCACCGTTTGTTCGTGTCACAAAATCCCAGTGTTGGAGAGGGAATAGATTTGATTGGCTGGCGTTGTCATCATACAGATTAATGTTCAAGAAGCCCATCATTACTTCATAACTGAAATAGCTAAATGAAGAATAAAAGCTAGAAAAAACATAGGAAAACATTTAGTCTAATTTAATGACAGAATTTTTTTCTTTTGTAGCTACAAAACATGTTCCATCCCTTTTAGTTTTATTGAATCAAGTGATCGATCAATCAATTAAATCAACATGTATATATGATTTATTATATTTTTAGACTGGAGGGAGATTAAGAAGCAAGATAGCAGAACAGTTATTAAACGACCTAGATCCTGAAACACAAAGATCTATAATACAACTAGAAGAATTAAACTACCATAGAAAAGATAAAACTTTTTAACTTTCCTTTATAGTTATATATTGAGACAATCTGATGAATTTAATACTGATCTATGTGATTCAAATAGCTCTCTCTCTGTAGTATTTCCTCTATATGTTATACAGTAGTTATTCTTTACAGACAAAGCACATTTGAAATGAATTTAAATATGATATAACCATTATGACTTCAGGGCCCAGACACCTTATTTATTAACCTACATTATGTAATGTGTCAGATACTAGTCTTGTGAGATATTTTTATTCAAAATATGAAACGGAAATATAAAATCAGTTTGTAGAAGTGGAAACCATTTAGGTTTTACTCTTATGGCCTATGCCTAAAATACCAAACCAAACTAGCCTTGTTTCTTATGGCCTTAGTTTTCTCTTTATTGTTTCATATATCCATATCATAACATCAATCTGTGATAGTTTTTTATTTTTAATTTATTTATTCATTACTGTATAGAATACTTTATATTTTAGTTTTTACTATGTTAAATAATATAATTAAGGTTCATGTCACCTGCATTATTTAAATTTTATAAAAGAAACAAACCTAAATTGAGTGATATACTGATTTGTACTCATTGTTAGAATGTAAAGAGATATTTGAAATTGCAGCAAATTAATCAAAAATCTGCAAAAAAAGACGACTGAATCAGTAAATGAAATGTTCTGTTAACTTTATTAATTATTTTTAATACATTTAATCTTGAGAAGATACAATTTAGATTCCAAGAAATAAAATAATCTGATTGGCGTATTGAGCTGAATTTGGAGTCTATTTCTATTTATAGTGATTGGCCAATAAAAAGACATTAAAATCATTTAAAAGGACAGATTTACCATCTTTTTGACCAATTGTACCTTAGTCTCAGAAACAGGAATTTTTTAACTAAGCTTATCAGTAATAGAGTACACAACTGACAGTTCATGCGTGTCTATAATTATTTGCTTTTGATAGTTAAAATGATGATTCATTTTTTCATGAGACTCAACCATATATAGAAATAGAAAGTGAAATTCCTACTAATTTTGGTACATTTCTAGAACTTCTGAAGACTATTTACATATTTTATTCAATGCACCAACCTGTAAAAGTGGTGAATCTGTCCCTTTCATTTAAGTTTTTGTGAAACTGACCACTGATATTGTGCTATTTAAATCTGGAATAATTTGATTATGAAGTTGTATCAATTAATAATAATTTGTAGTAAAGAGACATGACTCAATGAAGTTTTTTTTAATCCCTAGTCAGATATGTCTGGCAAACATCAAATCAACAATCCTGTTAAACAAACTGATCAGGGTTGTAATCAGACACCAATTGTAAATGTATTTCTACATGAAAGGAAATACAGGTCTCTCAAACCTAAAAGCTTTTGTTTTGTTGGAGAGTTGATCTAAGGCGTTTTTACGATATTCAATCCGATTTGAAGTTATGTGAATCGATCGATAAGAAAGATTTAGCCAAATCGATTCATTTTCGTAAATGCAACAAGTTGACAAAACCAAAGATATGAATCTAAATATTAACAAAAAATTAAAAATATTGAATAATTGAAATGGTGAAATGTTCTTTAGGTCTCCGGTGCAGACGTGTCCAGAGCGAGTGTCGACCGAAAATACGAGATGCCGAGGAGTCTGGTATATATTCGTCAGATTTTCACTAAGAATTGTGAATCACGTCATTCTATATTGAAAACAATCATAATTTAAGCAAGAAAATAATCGGTGTTATTGTTTATATCCATAGAAAACCATGTCAGCATTAAAATTGACTGGAATCATGAAAATATTAAATACCATATACAATAATAACGAAACTTACCTTGTTGACGCCATTTTGATCACATTCGATCGACTAAATTGCTCGCGAATCGAGTTAGTTGGATTAGTAAATAGATTTACCAAATCGATGTCGTAAATATGAAAATTTACTGAAGTTTTGTCAAAATCCGATAAGAATCATGCCTTTTAGTGTTTAAAGAAGTTTTCAGGAACAAGGTCAAAAACTCCTATGAAACATTTTGCGATTTTTTTTATTTTCGATAGGGTTTATCCATGGGTGATAATTAACAATTTCACCAAGTTTCATCAAAATCTGTCAAGAATTGTGCCTTGTAGAGTGATTATGAGGTAAAAATTGAAGAACAAGGGCAATAACTCATACTAAATAATTTAAGATTCTTCTGATTTTCAATAGGGTTCATCCTTGACTGATTATGAACATTCACACTAATTTTCATCCAAATCCGTCAAGAAATGTGCCTTCTAGAGTGTTTACGAGCAATTGTGGACCGACGGATGGACAGACAGACGGACGGACATGGGTGACGACAATATAAGCCCCCCATTTCATGTTGGCGTATAAAAATATAATATATCATTTCAGCACAATGTGTGGCTCATGAAGGGGTTTTTGAAATTCAAGAGACAAACTTTTGACTGAAGTAAAGTAAATCAATTAAACCTGATACTGAATATTATAATACCGATGTAGATTATATCAAGTTTAATTTTTCTGTTGATCATTCATTCTAATCCAGATGAAGATACTAGGGAAAGAGATACCAAGTGTATATTGACCAAGTTGTTTAATATTCAGATAAAAGTTCAATAAAAAATTAACAAGTATTTAACAATATATTTGAGCAAAAGCATAAATATAAATAATAAAAATAGATTAGGAAAGCATAAACGGATATTTGTTTAATTTGCTAGTCTAATGTTTGACAGGATTTCTCTGACAATATGTCCGAAATGCTGAGCTTTCATTAACAACACCTCACTTTTAAAGGGACAGATGCAGTATTTTTTTTTTTTTTACCAATCATATCTTTTTCTCAGAAATGGAAATTGTTCAACTAAGCCAATCAGTAATAGTGTTTACAGCTCATTGAAGCCATCAAATCCTTGTGTGTCTATAATAATCATTGTTTGTAAGTTAAAAAGACAATCAAACAATTACATTTCAACTATTCACTAAAACTTTGACAAATCCAAACTTTACCTTTAAAAGAAAAACATTTGGCTATTCATACACTTCTTTTGAACTCTTTAGGGCAATACTGAAAAATATTGAGTATGAGTTATTCGATTTTTCTGATTTTCAATAGGGTTTATTCTTGGGTGATAACAAACACTCAAGCCAAGTTTCTTCAAAATCCATCAAGAATAGTGCCCTCTAGAGTGTTTACAAGCTAAAAATTGAACACGTTTTTAAGAACAAGGGCAATAACTCATACTAAATATTTTTCGATTCCTCTTTAATAGGGTTCATCCTTGGGTGATTACGAACACTGACATCAAGTTTTGTCAAAATCTGTCAAGAATTGTGTCTTGTAGAGCAATTGCGCACTGACATGGGTGATGGCAATATACCCTACACATTTAATATGGGCGTATAAAAAGCACATATAAAGACAGCTTGCCAGGCAAGGTAATATACGCCCACTGGCAGCTTTGATTTTGAATAAAAATATATAGCAGTACAGTAACAATTACCAGTATGAAATATTCAACCTTCAGTCATACACTTCTTTTTGACTCTTTAGGGCGATACTGATAATATTGAGTATGAGTTATTGCCCTTGTTCTTGAAAACGTGTTCAATTTTTAGCTCATGAAAACTCTAGAAGGCAAATATTCAATCTTCAGTGCGGGACTGAATAATAAAACCAAGTTTTGTCAAAATCCAGCAAAAATCATGTGTTTTAGCGTTTTCATTAGCAAGGGCAATAACTCATACTAAATATTTTTCTGATTTTTAATAGGATTTATCCTTGGGTGATAACAAATACTCATGCTAAGTGTCGTTCAAATCCATCAAGAGTGTTTACGAGCTAAAAATTGAACGCGTTTTCAAGAACAAGGGCGATAACTTATACTTAATATTTTTCGATTCTTCTGATTTTCAATAGGGTTTATCCATGGGTGATTACGAACATTCATACCAAGTTTTGTCAAAATCCGTCAAGAATTTTGTCTTGTAGAGTGTTTACGAGCAATTGTGGACGGAAGGACGGACGGACAGGGGTGACGGCAATATACGCCCCGCATTTCATGTGGGCGTGTAAAAACTATCTACTCTGCAAGCTGATTATGCAAAAACAGCATTATTAATTATGATGCACAGGAATTTGCTCAATTTACAACAAATACATGTCAATGCAAAAATACTTGTTTTGGTCAACAAAGGCACTGTTTAGTAATATCTCAGATAAGATTTAATATCAATATCAGTATCTCAAAAATACTTCTTTTTTGTGACAATAGAATTTTTGCACTGTAATTCTCCTTGACTCTGAGTAAATAAAATTTCTATGAACTTGGAAATGGTGTATTGCAGTTTCCATGATAAATATTTATTTTTCCATTACATTTAAAATAAAGATCAAACACATCTTCATATCCTTTATCACGCCACCAAACACATAATTGTCTATTCCATGTACATGGTAACACATAAAATAAATCTTCATGTTCTAATGATAATAAGGTGAAAAAGTCTTGGTCACCTAAATGACCTTTAAAATCATATGTTTTTGTCATTCGTTGTAAAACCTCCGGATTGATTAGTTCATTATATTGTGAAGAGCTTCCCATTCTTTTGATATTTAATAATACCACTCCACTGTTGAATCCTGATAAACCATTTGGTGGTGGACTTCCAACCCGAGTGCCTGGGTTATGACTACGATAAGAGGAAAATAAATGTCTGTAAACAGGTTGATTTTCACGAGCTAGTCCGATTACATTATTTTCAGCGAAATTTTCAAATTGTTTGTTTAAATCATTAATATCTGATTCAAATTTGAGATCACTGTCAATTAAGATAGCTGTATCTAAATCAAAAGCCTTGACTTTATGGATGACTATTGATACAAAGAACAGAGATTGAGCATAATAGGAGTGTTCACTGGAACTAAAATATTTCTTCATATCATTGATTGTACTGTCTATATCTCTTATAACATCATCTATATTCACTTTAAATATCTACAATGACACATTCAAAATAGTTATAAATCTGCATATTTGTTAAGTTAAAACTCACACCCAAGACAGAAGGGTGCCAAAATTGCTGATTGCATTTAATATTTATAATTAATGTGTACAAAACCTGGATCCATAACTTTCAATTAACTTTCCTTTGATATTTGGTTGCTAGTAAAATGAAAAAAACAACATCCCATGGAATCAAATAGATCTATAAGGACACACATAGACAATAAATAATGATTGAATTCACGTTATAAATACCTGAAAGTTAACATTGTGTACCTCTTCCTTTAGTATCTTTTCAGCAATAATTTGACTGTCTTTGTCACCAATAATGTAAACATTTAAGGGCACTGTACAATGTTGTAACATACTTGAGACAGTAGTTTGAAATCTTGGAATTAATTGGGGGTTTGTTTTGGTATTTGTAAAAGTTATGAGAACATTGATACTGTTCTTGATAATATTGGGATCAGGCTTATCTGGTTTGAGGTCGATATTTGAGACCTGTGCAATTTTGCTTGTCTTTTCATCTTTGTTTTTCACCTGAGTAATTGTTTCAAACACCATATCCAACTCTTTGCTTACGATAGGTAACACGTGAACCTTGTATTTGGTATTAACATTCCACCTGAGGTACAACAAAAGACAAAGAAGTAAGAGTAAAAGCCAAAATTTTGTCAATTTTGAGGTAGCTTTAAATTTTTGGCATATATGTTTGAAGACTGTAAACAAGTGCATTTTTTGACAGATACTACACAGTGTTACACGTTGTTAAACATTGTAACTCTGCGCATATCATCATTTTATTTTACTTCCGGTTCGTTTCGTCTAGTCCGAAACTGTCCGTTTCTATATTGCTGCCGTGATCCTTGTTTAATTTAGTGTTAAGAGTGAAGGAGTTGCTTAAAACTTCTATGTAAAGCACTGGCCAAGGTCACAAATAAAGAGATACATGTTCAATACAAGATAAGGTGAAGTTAGCATAGTTAGTATTAAGTTAAAAAAACAACCACGAGTAATCTACAATAAACAAAAGTCTATAATATGAAAGTTTTCTTGTTACCAGTTGTAAAAGAGGAGAGTATAAATAGGTTCTGAAAAGATAAACATCTTTATATAAGGATTAGAATATATTATACTTAATGAGCTAGAAAATAGAGAGGGGGGTCAAGTATTATTGGATTCAATGGGATCGAGTCTACCACGGACCAGAAAATTACTAAGGTTTTTATGGCGCTTATAGGCAATTACAAGTCGTTTGGTATATACATTCGGAAATCTGTTCTGTAATTCACTGTAATACTGTTTGACGATGGATGAGGTTTTGGCAGCTGTATGATTAAAGGTGGCAACAAATGGAATCATTTGATTATCATGCTGGATGTTATAAGTCTATTTGGAGCCACTGTTTGGAGTTCGTCCATCCAGTAGCTTTCTCTCTGTAATCGTTTGGTTTTTGGTTTGATAAGATCAGAGTCAGGAATTGATTCAATAGGCATGATAAGAAGGTCTTCAATGGAATGGTCTTAAAATGATGAGAAATTGGTCAATTTTTGCTATGAATTATATCAAAGCGATGGCCGCTAAATCGAGTTCGCAACGCGTTCTGGGTTTCGCCGACGTATTGTTTGTCACATTTTTTACACGAAATTAGGTAAATGATATTTTTATCCGTACCCATGAGACGTTCTTTAATTTCAAATATTTTTCCGTTTTTTTTATTTTGAAAATAATGAGACATATGAATATGTTCACAGGTGCGAAACCGAGAACCTCTACATGATATTGCGCCAAAGTTATTTATTGGAGGAGGGGGTTCATTAATTTTCAAAAGGTCCAAAACAGTGTCATTTTTAATTTTGCGCAAGAATCGTTTGGAATAGCGCCAAAATGATATATTCGGAGGGGCAATGGGGAATTCATAAAACTAAGTAATTATTGAGAAACTCTTAATCATGATATTGAGCATTTTTCAATAGCTAATTGCATATCAATTACTAAGTTTTTTGGATTTATGGGATAATATAAGGATTATGTTATGTTATTTATGACACTGAGTATATCTACTGGCTCTTATTCGCCAAGTTTAAAATTCTCCAATTTTATGTTTTTTTCTAAGACGTAGAATCACTTTTCATAACATTTTTAAATTTAATTACATTAGAATAGACAATTTGATACAATTGAGTTCGTTGAAAATCATAGAAAGTTGCAGTAAAAAATAATTGGTCTGATACTGGATTGTAATCTGTCCCATCTCAAAATTCAAAAGATTTGATTGGTTGATTATGGCAGTGACTATTTACCACTGGCGTGGTAAGTGTGGTAAATAGCCATAAGTACCTTTACAGCTATTTACCACGGCGTGGTAAATAAAATTAGTCATGATTTAATATTCTTTTCGGAAAAAATTGCTTAAAACTACCTAAATATTTAAAATAACGATTTTGCAATCAATTATTCATCATTTTCATCAAAAATTCCCTTTTTTGAAAAATAAATGTCCTGTTTGTTTACAAATAAATGTCAAGGCCGATTGTGAAGAGTTCATGGTTCAAGGCTGAATACTTCTCAATTCAAACCCATGTAAAATATTCCGCGTTGTATGAAATTTGGTGTACATTCATTTGTTCTTTCAGCAATAGATTTTAATTACAAATTAGTCAAAATTCACTTTTAACCTTGTGAATGAATTGGAAAGCAGGATTATTACAAGTATATCTATTCAAAATCATTTGAGGACTAAACTTCCCGAAACGATCGTAAGGGTATTTTGTGTGAGAATAAGTTTTGAAAATAAATTCCTGCATTTTATGCAATGTGTCTCCTAATATTACTACGTTTTTACAGTAAAAACAGTGGCGTATTTAGAGGGTAGTGCCCTCGAAAAAATAGGGTAAAGTTGCCCCCACTCCCGTCAATGAAATCCTGGCTACGCCACTGAGTAAGTAGACCTAATGTATATTTCCACAAAAATTGTAATGCTGTGTCCTATGGATATTAGGGTGATATGAAAATAAAAATCCCATAAAAGCGTAGACCTAGGTCATGAAGTTAAAATTTTATATTTAGCTAAGTACTGTTAAACGCGTTTGCCACTATACATTTTCGGTCTTTTTCATGTTTGCCCCTAGTTCGTTCGCCCTGGGTCCGTTCGCTCCACAATGTTTTGTGACACAATAATCCATGATCCACAAAATTTGGACAAAATGTTTAAATATGTGTTTAATTGTCAAACTTGGTCACTTATAAATTTAAAAAGGACCCGTCCGCTATCATGTGACTAAAAAACTGACTTGTTAGTCTTTCATTCAAACCTCTTCCAATTTGTCATCCAGAAACTTGCCTTTACCAACACAATGTTGTTTTTATTTTTCTTAGAAACAAACAAAAAAATTATGTGAAAATTGTAAAAACTTGTTAAAGTTCTCAAGAAAGTGGAAACATGGCTCACTTTTCAACTCGATTCATGCAGCATGGAACAATTGTTTTGCGACCAGGACAAATAATTTTTTAAAAGGGACAGTTACGCCAACTTTTTGACCAATCATACTTTAGTCTCAGAAACGGGATTGTTTTAGCTAAGCCAATCACTAATACTGTTCACAGGTCACCGTCCAAATTTGAGCCTTCAAACTCACATGTGAATTATCCGTGTTTGAAACTAGTATACAGAAGATGTTTGCAGTAATGATACAGATATTGACAGTGTTTGACTGTAGTTTGTAGTAGAGGGAAATAACAGTACAGATATTGATAGTATTTGACTGTAGTATGTAGTCGAGGTCGGTAATGATACAGATATTGATAGTGTTTGACTGTAGTATGTAGTCGAGGTCGGTAATGATACAGATATTGATAGTGTTTGACTGTAGTATGTAGTCGAGGTCGTTAATGATACAGATATTGATAGTGTTTGACTGTAGTATGTAGTCACGGTTAGTAATAATTCAGGTATTGAATGTGTTTAACTGTAGTTTGTAGTAGAGGTCAGTAATGGTACAGATATTGATAGTTTTTGACTATAGTATAGTTTAGTAATGGAACAGATATTGATAGTGTTTGACTGTAGTAAGTAGTAGAGGTCAGTAATGATACAGATATTGATAGTGTTTGACTGTAGTATAGTTTACTAATGATACAGATACTGATAGTGTTTGACTGTAGTAAGTAGTAGAGGTCAGTAATGATACAGATATTGATAGTGTTTGACTGTAGTATAGTTTACTAATGATACAGATATTGCATAGTGTTTGAATGTAGTAAGTAGTAAAGGTCGGTAATGATACAGATATTGAGCGGTCCAAATATTGATAGTTTTTGCCCGTAGTAGGTAGTCGGGGTCGGTAATGATCCAGATATTGATAGTTCCGGAAGGTAGTTTTTTGCCAGGGTCGGTAAGGATCCAGATTTTGATAGGGTTGGCCTATAGTATAGTTTGGTAAGGGACCAGATTTTTTAAAAGGGACAGTTCCCCCAATTGGGGACAGAGGGCCCGCCGGCCGGACGGCCATGGGGGCCGCCAATATCCGTCCCCGTTTTAAGGGGGGGGTAAAAAAGTAACCAATTTTGATTTTGGGGGATTTGGATCCGGGGATATGGTCCTTTTTGGGAACCCGGGGCTGGAGGTTTCCGAATCAAAGATTTAATGTCCGGTTCCAGTCGGGTCATCTTCAGACCCGGGTCTCCCCGTCTAGTTTTGTCCCCCTTTTTGGAAAAAATTTCAGTCCCCCCGTTAAACCCCCTTTTTTTTGGAGGAGGGGAATGTTGGAATCATTTCAATTCTTCCCTTTTTGGGCCATTCCTCCCAATTCCCCCCTGGAAGTCCCCCCCCCCCCCCCCCCCCCCTCGCCAAAGTCTTATTCACCCCGGGGTGAACCTCAATTGCGGCCATATTATTCAGATTATGATAAAAATAAATTTTTATTTTTTTTCACTTGTACATCACATCAAATCATTCTTTGTGCGAAGAAATAATAATGCAGTGAGCGTATACACGATGTAGCCTATCTATATCTCTTGATTCTTTGTGGTTTAGTGACACACATTTTAGAAACAAATTTAAATCACTTGGCTGAAAACGATTGGAGTCAATCACAAACAAATTTTGAAACTAAGACTATAAAGCGCCGCAGAATTTGGATTGGATCCTGTAGGTCCATTACAGTAATCTTGATCACACAATGATATGCAGACAAGATAACCGCCTGTAAAAGTACACACGGTTTCATTTTTAGTATTGACATTTTTTAGTCTCCCTTTCTGGTTTTCTTCTACACTAAAATCTTTTTTATTATTACAATCTCTTATTAAACTGCTAACTTTACCTGAAACATAATATATATTGTTTTATTTACAAATCTTTCACGACCTGGGGAAATAATTTCCAATGAAATTATTTATGTTTTATTTGTAAGAACATGCCTAGTAGACTTCCCGGAGAAAAGTCCCAAAAAAGTCATTTTTTATACGCCCAAATGATATGGGTCGTATATTGCGGTCACCCATGTCCTTCCGCACTCTAGAAGGCACAATTCTTGACGGGTTTTGACCAAAATTTATATGATTGTTTGTAATCACCCACGGATGAGAAAATTTGCAGCTATCGACGTTGATCTTTTCTGGATCTATGATTTTAGCACTATGAACAATGAATCGATACAGTAGCGTATTCAGAGGGAGGGCAATTGCGCCACTGTGAACGGTCTTATTTTCATGCTCGAAACTCATCTCAGGCCATTTGAAATCCTTTGGCTCCTTGCAACCCCTAGTCATGGTCTAATCTGCAAAGCGGTTTTTTACACGGCGAACCCACCATTTATCAACTAATCGACCTTAATCACTTCTTTTGTCAAGCCATAGATCAAGAGCAGTATACCAGGGCAGTGGCATGCTGCACTCTGTCATAAGCTCCAGACTGCAGGCATCAGAGGAAATTTGCTCCAGTGGTTTCAAGATTACCTGAATAACAGAGTCCAAACGGTTGTTGTCACTGGAGTTTCCTCTGAGCCTAAAACTGTTTAGGGCTCTGTCCTGGGACCTTTACTCTTCCATATATATATAAATGACATTATAAAAAACATCAACTCAAACATTCAACTATTTGCAGATGAAACCAGCTTATACCTAAAAATCGATGACCCAAATGCTTGCGCAGAAATACTTAACCGTGACTTGGAAACAATCAACAGTTGGTCTAGAACATGGCTTGTTTCCTTCAACCCGCTCAAAACCGAATCACTCGCAATCTATACTAAACGAAATCCGATCTCACCGACACTAAACCTTGACAATATTCCTATTCAAGAATATTCTCTGTACATAAGCACTTGTCAGTGGGATGTACATATTGCTACGATTTTATCGAAAACTGGTAACTGTCTTAGATCTTTGAAATATCGAAAAAATAGAAAATCTCTTCAAACAATATATTCCTCCTTTATTCTTCCTCATTTTGATTATTGTGACATTATCTGGGATGGGTGCACTGCAGAATTAACAGACAAGCTAGAAAGATTACAACTTGATGCACTCCGCACTATATGCGGAGCTGTGAGGGGAACAAGCCATCGATTACTATATCAAGAAACAGGTTTCATTACACAGCAGGAGAGGCGGAGAAGGTACAAACTGTATAAAATGATCAACAATTTAACTCCACCCTATCTCTGCAACTTAATCGAAACAAAACAAACCTTATATAACCTTAGAAACAATAACCTTCTTGAACAATATTATTCTAGAACTAACATATTTTATAATTCTTTTATCCCTGGAACAAACGTACAATCGAGGGGGACAATTTAGCAAAGCACCTTGACAGACGATTAAACGTCGGGAAACGGACTCTCACGGAGTATTTTAGATTCGAGATCATTTTTGTTAAAACACACAAAGTTATAATACGTTACATTTTTATTGCCGTTTTAGTTTAAACGTAGCTGGTATGTTTTATGGCAAAACGTTAAACAAATACGTCCAAGTTAATTTTCTGGGTACGCTTCCTGTTGAAGACAAGAAGAACAAGATTGCGCTGGCGAGTCATAGATCGTCGTTGTGGTGAGATAACGCGAGTAAGAGTTGAAAAGCTGCTTTCACAGTGTGTCAGTCGTAGTAGTGTCGGAACCATCAAGCAATTTGACTTATTTGATCAAATATTTATCCATTTTTCCTACTTTTGGTTGTTTGATTCATATGAATACAATTTAGGATAATATATGTCAATTTGTTAGTATTTATAATCAAACAATCAAATCTTTTGAATTTTGAGACGGGACAGATTACAATCCAGTATGAGACCAATAATTTTGTTACCAACGACGCTTTACGCAGACTTTTTATGATTTTCAACGAACTCAATTGTATCAAATTGTCTATTCTAATGTAATTAAATTTAAAAATGTTATGAAATGCTATGATGTCTGGTTTCTTCCTCAGTTAAGTATAAACAGAAAGGTATTTAAAAACAGTTCTTAAAGTGATACTACGTCTTAGAAAAAACATAAAATTGGAGAATTTTAAACTTGGCGAATAAGAGCCAGTAGATATACTCGGTGTCATAAATAACATAATGTAACCGGGTACAGGTTAGGGGGTACTTAATTTTCTGTATACTGCTGTGGTCTGAAGCATATGGTTAAGTACAGGGAGGTAATAATCTTCTGCTTTGGAGATTCATTCATATACTGTGTAAAAAAAGGATCTTGTATTGAAATTAACTGTGTTATTTCTCTCTTCCACAGGTAAAGTTTAACTTTTATTTATATTAATTATGTATCAAAATGTGCATAAGTCATCCATGTTTATGTTTATGATAAGAATAAGTGTTGGCAGTGTTAATTATTTGAGAACTTAGTCAGTGTATTGTCTTGATGGAATTGAACATGTTTGTAATATGTTTAGGTTATTTCCCTCATTAATATGTATAAGCCATTTTGGCGGCAAATCCTCTTGCTTTTCATGAATATTAATGAGCCCAAGTCCAAATATGGTCACGTATTATGTCATTCACACTGGTGTCTGTAATTTGCCAATTTGCCAACTTCCATATTCAATAATCTTGTTATGTAAACATTGTCAAATGGATTCCGTATTTTATGCTGTGTAAAAAAAGGATCTTGTATTGAAATTAACTGTGTTATTTCTCTCTTCCACAGGTACAACCTGAGCCCAACCAAACCTTCTTATCCCATAAAAATAAATTTGTTTGTTGACAATACCGGGGTCAACAATAACATAATCCTTATATTATCCCATAAATCCAAAAAACTTAGTAATTGATATGCAATTAGCTATTGAAAAATGCTCAATATCATGATTAAGCGTTTTTCAATAATTAATTAGTTTTATGGATGGATAAGGGCACCATGGTACGAAGATTTGATTCCCTCCCACCCTCTCCTTTATGACATTCTTCTGTCTGTTTTATTATATAATTTCAGAGTACCTTCCATCATGGGGATGAATGTATTGTTTACCATCCTAGCCAATTGATGAAATCAGTACCAAGAATAGAAACAGAAATGGGGTATTTCGTCGCGGCTGAGTGTTAATCCTGGCGAATTACGCATACCAGAGATACATATTATTTCCTTTTACAATTGATATTAGTCAGAACGGCTGAGTTCTGACTTTGAATTTCTTGTTTATGTCGCCAGTTAACCTTATTGATAGGCCGGCGCCAACATAATATATATATTATTTAACTTAGCCGTGGCCAAACTTCGCCAAACCATAAATAAAGTATTTTGAATATTGTTTTTGATTGTTCAAGTCCTGAAATAACTATGCATTATAAAGACAAACACCAAAACTAAGTTAAAGGGGAACAGTTGGCATTTTCGGGGATTGATTTTGGTCTTTATTGTGCTTTAATAATCTTAAGAAATTTCACTGTCTATTTCTATATATGTGTTTTCTATATAATATATCATTGTCTCACTAAAATTCGAGTCGAATTTTTAACTTTTAAACGTGAATAATTATTACACATAGATATGAAGGAACAAAATAATTTGGACGATGAGCTGTGAACACTATTACTGATTTTGTAAGCTAAAAGAATTCCTATTTCTAAAACTAAGGTATGATTGGTCGAACGAATAGTGAAGGTGCTCCTTTAAACTGCTTAATTAACAATAGTATACGCTGCGTTTTTAATCAACCCTTTGTAAAATTAATTCAGTGGGAAACGTGAATATAAATAGCATATAAGACGTAAGACATATAGAAGCGAGGAGCACATTTTACAAAAAACACAAGACAATATTATGGAATATAACACACTTCTTTCATAAGGTTGGGCACATATTAAACTTTATTAAAGAAGTGTGTTATATTCCATAATATTGTCTTGTGTTTTTGTTATAAATAGCATACTTTGGAAATATTTTCAGGTATTTGGGTATTTTCTGGACCAATTCCGAGAGATTAGGAATTCGGAATTTTACATCCACCCGTCGGCATCATACCAATGAATTAAATTGTAATGTAGATGATTTTCTTATATCACGAAGTGTTTTCACTATGTGTGTACTTTCAAATATTAAAAACTATTTCTTTGTGAATTCTTTTCTATGCCATTCTTGGATTTCAATCAGCCTATATAGCCGGATTCATTGGGATTTTTTTTTTTGGAAGTTTATTAGGCATGTACTTTTAAATAAAACAAAAGTGTTTTCTTTGTGAATTAGTTTCCCAGGTAAGACGTTAAGGGTATTGCCTCTTTGGGTGACCGAAAATATGAACTTGGCCAAAATGAGTCTTTGTTGATTACCTGGTGTCAAAACAAAATAATAATCCATTATTTTAAGTAATTTTATACGCTTATACACAATTACTTTGAGAATCATTTCCTACACTCTCAACCTATCTCCCGGCTATAACAAATAGACAGATATGAAAGGTATCAATAATCCAGACAGATTTGAAAGTTATCAAAAATCAGACAGATATAAAAGGTATTAATAATCAGACAGATTTAAAAGGTATTAATAATCAGACAGATATAAAAAGTATTAATAATTAGACAGATTTGAAAGGTATTAATAATCAGACAGATTTAAAAGGTATTAATAATCAGACAGATTTAAAAGGTGTTAATAATCAGACAGATATAAAAGGTATCAATAATCCAGACAGATTTAAAAGTTATCAAAAATCAGACAGATATAAAAGGTATTAATAATCAGACAGATATAAAAGGTATCAATAATCAGAAAGATAAAAGTTATTATTAATCAGACAGATATAAAAGGTATCAATAATCAGACAGATTTAAAAGTTATTATTAATCAGACAGATATAAAAGGTATTAATAATCAGACAGATAAAAGTTATTATTAATCAGACAGATATAAAGGGTATCAATAATCAGACAGATATAAAGGGTATCAATAATCAGACAGATAAAAGTTATTATTAATCAGACAGATATAAAAGGTATCAATAATCAGACAGATTTAAAAGTTATCAATAATCAGACAGATAGAAAAGTTATCATTAATCAGACAATATAAAAGGTACCAATAGTAAGTTTGAAATAACATAGTATCAATAGTCAGACAGAAATAGAAAGATATCGGTATCAATAGCCAGACTGATATAATAAGGTATCAATAGCCATTGGCATATCTAGAAAATGCCCGAGGGCGAGAAAATGAGACGTGTCCCTCCGAGGCGAGGCTCGAAGTGCTGAAGCCCCTTGAGACCGTGGGACTGGGACTGCCAGAGGCTCTCAAGAGCCGCCGGATTTCAGATGGCCTGGGATGAATTTTGAGCTTACTTTTCACCTCGAAATAATACCTTTTCCTGATGGCCCCGAGGAGAGAGTCATGACCCCAATGGTCCTCCCCTGAATATGCTACTGTGATTAGCCAGGCTGATTTAAGTAGGTATCGTCAGACAGAAATAATAATATTTAATATATTGAACGGATTTTGCGGTTGGACGAATAAACAGTATAGTTCTTACCATTTTGTATAAACTGTTCAATTAAACAGTATTCATGATTTGCATCACAGTGTCGGATATAACTGGTATCGTTGTGAACAGCTGCAGATTTTAAATATTGTTCGTCCCAACAATTTCTATTTTTACCAGTATCATGACAATAAAAACATCTTATATTACCAGCATCACTTTGTACTTTATCTATAAAGATTAGCAACTATAATTCCATGGAAGGGCATAACAATGGTTTACTTTATATCGTAAATCTAAATGTTTTAAATTATGTCGATATTCCCATGATAGTATATAAGTTGAGAAATAAAAAATGATTTCAGATTACCAGATATTAATATGCATCTACCTACACAACAGGACAAAAATGAACATCCTATATAAAAGGATCAAAATGCACAAAGCATAAAGGTATCTGTAGTTCTATTGGACTTACCTGTTAGAAAAATTTGTAATGTAATCAATGTTATTACGACATGCATACTGACGCCCATATTTGTTGTGCAGTGACTTTTCTGTGTTATCTTGAGATAAAAGTCAACTACCGGGTGCAGATAAGATATCGTGTTAAACTTTACCCGCTCTAATCATCCGGGTAACCAAACTAGTTGTGGCAGTCAAAATTAATTTTGTATTAGATCTAAATTTATATTTATATTTTTATATTATCTAAGCGGAAGTTACATATTGCATAATGAATGCACAAAATTGGTTTGGAGGCTCTAAAGCTTATTTGTGAACCAAGGTTTTTTTTATGTTCCTAGTAACAAGGTGTATCGGATGCAATTGATAAGAAATTTGAAACTTTTTTATAGAAAAAAAATAACTGCATGTAAAATTTGGAAATTTCTACTTAGGCGCCAATTATCCGATCGATCTGAAAATTATAGGATACTGACAAATGCCAATACAAAATAAAACATCAAAAGTTTTAAATCACTTCCGGTGAAGTGGGAACTTGCGATTTCTATGTAATTCAAAAAATGTGCACAAAAACCGTACAGATTATCTAAAGTAAATTGGAATCACTCCAGAAGAAAAAATTCAAACCGAAAGTGACGCATTCGCTGTTATCTATAGATATGCTGATATTTGATGAAAAACTTACATTTTTTGCAGCTTTGGACAGCTATGCAATATCCTTTAAGTAACACAGGGGCTTGATTTTTATACGCCCACGTGGGGATGTGGAAGTATATTGCTGTCGCCCCTCTCCGCCCGTCCGTCCGTTCACAGTTTTTGTAGGCACGATAGAGGCAACAGTTTTTATCCGATCTCGGTCCAGTTGGAAATGGGTAATAATCGGATGAACGATTTCGGAGTTATTGCCCTTGACCTGCTTTCTAGACATGATAAAGTCTACAGTTTTTATCCGATCTTATAATTGGAGAGTACACTTTCTTTCAACAAAATTTGGAAACCCTTAATTTTAAAGACTGTTAGTGGCTCATCTAGGTTAGTTAGGACTCTTTCCTGGGAATTTAACATAATACTCTCAGATTGCATTCTGAGAGAAGTTGTCGATTATCTACATGTGTTGTTTTTGTTTATTGAATAATTGAGAGATTTATCGTGATGCGGCATGAATTAGTTCTATTATTTTTGCAAATTGAGAATATTGAGGTGATATTTCTGGATTTTAAATATATAATTGATTTATAAATCAGATGCCCGAAAGTTTCAATTTCTTATTAAAAAATTGAGGCTTAAAAGCACCGGGGTTGAAAGCTAACGGCCTAGAAGTTTGAAAAGGTTTGAAATCTATTGGACTCGTTGCTAAGCTCGGAGCTGTTCACGGTTCTAGTTTTATCTGTTGGAATTTTCTGGTCATCCAGTTTGTGATTTGTGTTGCTCGAGTTTGATATCTCCCACGTTTGTGACACCCCAAATATTTTGGACTTTTAGTGCATTCCTGTTTGTGACGTGAATGTGATTACCATTGAGTGCTAGCTGTTTGTGTATAGGACAGTGCTCTGATTTTTGTTGCCAATTCCGGGCCAAATTTATGTGTAGTACTGTGCTCTGGTTTGTGTGAATTGTTGATTTTTATACATAAAGTTTTCAAACACTTGTTTGTTTGATTGAGCAATTGGAGATATTGGTTCCAGTGTGTTTAATAGAACATCGTCGGCCCATTTGGTACATTCGAGCCTGGGAATTCGCCAAGTTGGGATACATTTCAGTCACTTTTGAGGTGACACTTGCTCTCGTTGACGGAGAGAATTTGCGTGGTTTCACGGCTGTAAAGCAAAACCCCATCCCAAAAAGATTCAGTTTAGTACATTTTAGTATTGAGGCAGAGTGGCACTCTACACAATCATAGGTATTTTACATTTTCATTATAAAATGGTCATTTAAAATTCAACCAATTACATGCTCTGTACAACAACAAAAATCCTTACTATATGTGAGCGATTCTATTATATGCTTATTAAATATTGCATAAACTCTTATCATATTGGTTATAATTGGTTATCATAAAGTATGAATGCCATTTGGTCCAACCCATGGTTAACAATCTTCATGTTGATAATATCTAAACAATACAATGTCTATTACTCCCAGTCTTAACTACATAATGCATTTATTTCATAATAATTAAACAGACCCTTGATAATGCTTTTCAATCGATCACATCCAGTTTATTTGTTTTTTTGGGGGTTTTTTGTGTCAATATATGTTTTTAAACCAAATGATGTAAATTTAAAACTATATTATTGTCCTGTTATTTGACGTTTCGGCTTACTGCCTTCTTCAGAAACACCCAAAATAGATCTCGATCACATCTTATTCCGTTATTTTACTAACTATTAAAAGTTTAGAGTCTCATATTCTAACTTATTAATTTTAAACGGATATTGATTCATATATTGTTTCTTTTTATACGCCCACGTATATTGTCGCCTCCCTGTCCGCCCGTCCACAATATTGCTCGTAAAAACTCTACAAGGCACAATTCTTGACTGATTTCGACGAAACTTGTTATGGTTGTTTGTAATCACCCAAGAATGAACCCTATCCAAAATCAGAAAAATCGAAAAATATTTAGTATGAGTTATTGTCCTTGTTCTTTAAACGATCGTAAAATTCTTGACAGATTTTGACGAAACTTGGTGTGAGTGTTTGTTATTACCCAAGGATAAACCCTGTTTAAAATCAAAAAGATCAAAAAATAATTAGTAGAGTTATTGCCCTTGTTCTTGAAACGCTCGTAAACACTCCAGAAGGCGCAATTCTTGACGGATTTTGACGAAACTTGGTGTGTGTGTTTGTTATTACCCAAAGATAAACCCTATTGAAAATCAGCAAAATCGAAAAATATTTAGTATGAGTTATTGCCCTTGATCTTGAAAACGCGTTCAATTTTTAGCACTTAAACGCTCTAGAAGGTTCAATTATTGACAGATTTTGGCGAGTGTGAGTGTTGGTTGTCATCGAAGGATAAACCCTATCGAAAATCAGAAAAATTGAAAGATATTTAGTATGAGTTATTGCCCTTGTTCTTGAAAACGCGTTCAATTTTTAGCTCGTAAACACTCCAGAAGGCACGAATCTTGACGGATTTAGATGAAACTTGGTATGAGTGTTAGTAATCACCCAAGGATGAACCCTATTTAAAATCAGAATAATCGAAAAATATTTAGTATGAGTTATTGCCCTTGTTCTTGAAAACGCGTTCAATTTTTAGCACTTAAACGCTCTAGAAGGTTCAATTATTGACAGATTTTGGCGAGTGTGAGTGTTGGTTGTCATCGAAGGATGAACCCTATTGAAAATCAGAAAAATAATTGTTATGAGTTATTACCCTTGTTCTTGATAATTCGTTCAATTTGTAGAACGTAAACACTCTAGAAGGCACAATTCTTTATGGATTTTGACGAAACTTGTTGTGATTGTATATAATCACCCAAAGATCAACTTTAACGAAAATCAGAAAAATCGAAAAATATTTTTGCCCATATTCTTAAAGACGCGTTCAAGTTTTAGCCTGTAAACACTCTAGAAGGCCCAATTCTTGACAGATTTTGATGAAACTTGGTAATATTATTCAGTATCGCCTCAAAAAGTTCAAAAAAAGTGTATGCGACTGAAGGTTGAATATTTCATACTGGTAATTGTTACTGTACTGCCTTATATTTTGTTTAAAATCAAAGCTGCCAGTGGGCGTACATCTGTTTAGATTCTTTACATGAAAATGGCAATCAGTAAAGATTTTTTTAAAGTTAATTACTTTTTTTTTTATATATATTTTAATATAACCGATTAAAGATCTCCCAGGGACGGGTATACCGCAAAGTGAATTCCTCTCAAAAGCTGCTTTCCTTACATTTATATAACTATTCTTTGCATGATTCAATAGATTCTGTTTTATCACAATGAGGTCTATCGATTGAACAAAGCGCCACTATCTACAGGAAATTTTGATGAAGCAATTATAATGTCTAACTGCGGACTGCAAAATGGTTAGCTGACCGACATATTTATGTTTTATATTTTTGTTTGGACATAAGGACTCTTGTGTTTATGGAGTTTTATATAGAAACAATGGACAGATGGACCTGGTAAATATTGACGTTTCCTTAAACTTGAAAAAATTTGTCGTGTATGTTAAAGGTTTGTTCCCTTTTTTTATTTTCAAAAGTTGGCGACCTGGTATATTGAAATATTTATGTTAATGGGGATGGTGAGGGGAGTAAAAAATTCATTTATGGTCGCTTCCATTTAACAGGCTTGCTGACTAAACCGAGTTCTATCTTTCATTAATTTGCATTGCATTGAAGTAAAAGTAGTATATCTAAATGATGTCAGATGGAGTCCCAATTGGGGTTCTTCAAGGTATTTAAACAAATTTATATATCACCGATATTCTTCGCGACATTCCAACTGAAACATCACTGATATTTCGTCCAATTTAAAATTTTTGGACTATCATACGAAACTACTGAAATCAACCAATGATTACTTTGATGTTTTATTTAATAGAATCCACAACTCATGAATGGATACGTAGAATATTAACTGTTATATTTGTGAAATGAAGTTTTCCCCCATTATTTTGTAGATAATAACAGTCTGATAATTCTCGTCAAAATATTATTCAAGATAATGCGATGTATTAACATGGAAACTGTCATTATAAACCTTTGTGGGACAAAATGTGAAGTCAGTTTTTCAACTTTTCACAAGCTGACGGACAGGAGAAACTCAGAATTTCTTCAAGAGGCGACCAAAATTAGTGCTCAAGCATACTATATAGAAAGATCATCGACAGTCTTCAGTGCTGTGGTAGATTTTCTTGTAACTGAAGAACTTCACCTTCCGCCGACTGTTTGCCCACATTTCTTTATATCGGAGCTGGAATTTTGGGGTATTGAAATAAATGAAGCCAATAAATGTTTCAGGAATATTTTGATTTCTGCAGTAGAAAAAAAGATCATTTTAGATGAGTATGACAAATCATTGTCGGGAGGTCTAAAAACAGTGAATGGTGAAAATAGTACATATGATATTATTTGGTCAATTATTCACGAATTGCAAAGGTATATTTTGTTTATCTAATTTTGCTGTGTTGTTGTTGATGATTGACTGAAGGGAAGAGTGTATGCAAACATTCAATAAGAACCTGCATTCGTCAATATTCCACCCTTTTCTTTTACCATACACACCTAGAACGACGAACCTTTGTAGTCCAGTTGCAGAGCGCAAAACTTGGCTATGTTTTTAGAGTATATATAGTACAGTAATTTGGTATCAAAATATATGTTTTCAAGATCAAGGAATTAATTTTTTGATTTTTTTTTTATAATTTCCGTGGTCATGTTCTTATTGTGAAGATTAAATTGAATAAATATAAAATATTAGAATCGTCAGATGTTCCTTAAAACACATTCTATTTTTATCCAAAAAAAAAAAACATTTTACCACCAGTCCAACAACATCTCCAGCTACCAGTACAACAACTTCCCCTACTAACAGTCTAGCTTCCAGTCCGAAAACATCCCGCACAACCAGTCCCACAAAACCCCTTCTACCAGTCCATCAACCTCCCCTAATACCAGTCTAACAATATCACTAACTACCAGGTCTATATACAACAACGTCTACCACCAATCTGACAACATCTCCATTTACCAGTCCGTTGTCATCTCTTACTAACAGCCCCACAACATCCCCTCATACCAACCTCAACAAAATCTCCTTTAACCAGACCAGCAACTACCAATCTGACAACATCTCCTACTACCAGTTTACAACGTCTCCTACTGCCAGTCCAACCACTTTCCTACTACCAGTCCAACAACATTCCTACTACCTGTTCATTAACAATTGCTACCAGTCCAATAAAATCCGCTAATTCCAGTCGATTTGTTCTCGGGTTGATATTCGAGAATGTAGGATTGGTAGCAGGTGATATTGTTGGACTTGTATAAAGGAAGATTTTTGGATTGATAGAAGGATGTTTTTTTTTAACACTGGTAGTAGCAGAACTGATGTTGTTGAACTGTTTATTATAAGTACATGTACTGACTTTGGATACCAATAATGACAAACTTTACTAACAACACAATTTGTGGAAACATTATGTAGATAAAAGTTACAACGTGTTATACAGAACCCTTGACGATTCTTACTGAGATTGAATATTTCATTTTAATTCTATTTAATTTTCGCGAAAAGAACAAGGGTAAAAAATAAAATCATAAATGAATTCTTTGACCCCGAAAACATATATTTTGACAACAAAATTAAGTTGGAAACTTGTGCAGAAGAGCTTTCTGAAGCAGCAAAACACAGAAAACAATGTAGGGTCTATACTCTAAAAACACATCAAAATCTGGTGTTTGACCACTTAAAAATGCCATATTTTATCACCAAGTACAGCTAGAGTTATGCACAAGGAATGGTGGAACGTAACTAATCCATTACAAGCAAATAGAAGCATATATTCCTTTCAAAGGATAGGCATATGATCCTATCACCAGCTGGTCCTGGGCCAAACCTCTTGGCATTGATCTTTTTTCGGATTATTCGTACCAATTTACAGCAGGGTCTGGATTAGAAAGATCAATGGGTTTGGCCAAGTATCAGCTGGTAGAAGGGATCTCAAGTGAATCTAAGTTGTTATCCTTGTTTGTTTCTTAGACACTTTGACTGTGATTGATTAATGCATGTCCAATAATTAAGCGTTGGTCTTGCTTAATTCATTTTCAATACCATTGCTTAACCTGATCGACCTGAACTGTTTCATTATCTTGTTTTTAATTCTCGCATCACACTATTTATATGCATTTCAGGCTTATGTAACACTGGTGGCAATATTCACACTTATTTCAATATTCGTGGTAGCGGCCAAGACACATCCGTATTTTCAACACAAAATGGATTTGGGAGATTGGAAAGATTATTTTGGTGATGATTTTGAAGACTTTTCTGATGATTATTACAATAAAGAAGATTACAACGAATTACTTGATTATAATCATAATAAAAACACAACTTTAACGAAAAACACCTTTAGTTATCACATGTATCTGTCGGCCTTAGATTATGTTACAATTACTTTCTTTACGCTCGACTTATTACTTCGAATTATATTCTGCCCTAATAAACTGCGATTTTTCTTTGATATGGTCAATATAGTAGATACAATATCATTGATAGCCGTGTATTCACATGTAATCGTCAAATTGTGTATTCCAAATGAAAAATATAAAGAAAGTCTGGTTGATATAATGGAAGCTATACATTTACTCCGAATTTTAAGATTACTGAGAATTCTACAGAAGATGCGCGTGTTTAGAGTATTGGCTTACTCTCTAAAGACGGGATATCAAGAATTCATTTTGGTTATATCTTTCTTTTCATTTGCTGCTGTTACATTTGGTTGTTTGATTTGTCATTTAGATGGTAAAAATAAGATACTACATATTCCTGATGGAATTTATTGGGCTGTGGTGACGATGACAACAGTGGGATATGGTGATATGTATCCAATGACTTTCCTCGGAAAAGTGATTGCTGGGTGTATGGCTGTACTTGGAAGTTTAATATCAGCGTCTCTAATTCCAGTATTTGTTAACAACTTTCTTTTTTTCTACACGAATTCAAACAATTTATCATTAGAAACTAAACCCAAAGCAAAGTCTAAAACTCGTGTTGGGTGTACTGGAAAGCCGAAGTTACAAAAACCCATTTAACATTTTTCCATCCATTCTGATCAAATTGTAGATCTAAATTTTGTTATCGTGTAATCGCCATCCATTATATTTGATAGCAGTAGAAACCAAAAACACTGTAAACTTTACAGATTTGACGTACAAAATTATTGAGATGTTGCATTAGAAAATTTTCTTCATTAGAGAAATATGTAACACAATAATTAAACTACAGATAAACTATCTAGATTGACGCAACTGTCATTCAAGTTGAGTCAACCCACGAAAACGAAATCTAGACAGTTTATCTGTAGTTTAATTATTATGTTACATATTACGCCATGTAGGTATGTGATCCTATACATATACGGAAAATTAAACATCGAAATCATATCGTGTTATCTGTAAGGAGGTTGCACCTGCCGTAAATAAATTTGTAAATTAACCATCCATTAGACATTGGACGTTAACACACCCGTCAAAAACATTACAGTTATAAAGTTATTAGGTTATGAATTAATAAATATTGAAACTTTGAAGATATCGCGATACGTATGGTATCGTTGCCAAAGCATTATTTCTGATGCCCATTAAATTCCATATAAAGTACAATAGGTGCGTATTTATTTTACTCTATAGAAGCGATTGGTGTCTATTATACTTAATTCTTAGTAATAGATATCTGGTATCTATTTATTATACTCTATATCTAGTATGTGAGGTGTCTGATGTCTATTTCACTGTCTACAATACATCTCTATACTCATTTCAAGAGGCGATTGGTGTCTAGTAATTCTCAGTGCAAGAGGTGTTTAATAAATAGACAGCAGGCACCTTTTATCCTGAGTATGATATTATTTCATGTAATTGAATAGATAAATCAATAATCATAGCGTCTTTTATAGATATTATTACCAGCTTTTGCAATATGGACGTCAAACACTTAGTCTTGGCGGAATTCCAAGATTCGATGCAATCAGTGTCCCCGATACAAATAATAAAAAAAATATATAGTTTTAAAAATTTCTTTATAATCTGCTTAAAGGGATTGTAAAGAGGTTTTCTGACTTTTTTTTATGTGTATCGGGGACACTGAAAGCATCAATTTGCACCATTTAAAATTTCAATCAGACATATGTGGTTCCTGTAATTCCACCACGTGTTTGATGACGTCACTAATCACGTAATATGCTTCATCACATAAGGCCCTCGCCGACTTAGCACTTAGTTTTAGTGGAATCGTAGGACCCACAGATATCTGATTAAAATTAACAAGAAATCTTTTTGTCAGCTCCTGAACAGCAATGACATCGCCATACATTGCCAATGTTTTGATATTCATAAGGTTTGCATTTATATTTTCAATCCTCTTCTTAATAATCTCCTTCCTCATAATCTCCACCCTCATAATCTCCTCCTTCGTAATCCCCTTCTTCATAATCTCCTTCTTCATAATCTCCTTCTTCATAGTCTCCTTCTTCATAATCCCCTTCTTCATAGCCTCCTTCATAATCTCCTTCTTCATAATCTCCTTCTTCATAGTCTCCTTCTTCATAATCTCCTTCTTCATAATCTCCTTCTTCATAGTCACCTTCCTCATAGTCACCTTCTTCATTATCTCCTTCTGCAGTATCCCCTTCTACGGTATCCGCTTTAACATCGTTAGTTGTTGGTTTTGCAGTGCTGCATGGTTTTGGGGCATTCAATTTTAATTTTTGGTTAAGTTCATCTAAAAGCTTATTTTTTTTTGCCATGAAAACCTCAACTGGTTCAACCGTTGGTCCTGCTTTTGTAATTGGTGTGCTGGTTGTAATCCGGGCTGTAGCTTTAGGCCTCACAGTACTGCATGGTTTTGGTGCGTTCGCTTTTACCTTTCGTGTAAGTTCAGCTAAAAGCTTATCCTTCCTTGCCAAGAAAACCTCAACTGGTTCAATAGTTGGGGCTGCTCTTGTAGTCGTAGTTGGTGTTGTAGTTGGTGTTGTAGTTGTTGTTGTAGTTGGTGTTGTAGTTGTTGTTGTTGTAGTTGGTGTTGTTGTTGTTGTGGTAGTTGTAGTTGGTGTGGTTGTTCTTTTGGTGGTAGTTCTTCTGGTGGTAGTTCTTCTAGTGGTAGTTCTTCTGGTAGTTGTTGGTAACTTCTTTGGTTGTTTAGCTTGTTTATTTTTCTCCCTTTGCTCCTTTTCCTTTTTCTCTTTTGCAGCCTTTTCTTTCCTTAATCTTGCATAATACATGGTAGGGTTTCTTCTCTTCAGTTCATCCAGTTCTTTCTGTTTATACCACTCTTCAATACGTTTCTGTTTTTTCTTTAACGCCTCTCCTGTCAGACCAGAATCGAATCCCCATCCCATCATCGGTGATCTTTTATTAATATTGTGTCTACCATCTTGTGTATCAGCAACTTTCACTGAAATAATAAAGATCAAAATGATAAATTCAGACGTTTGTACAGAATTGTAATATTAAAACGCTTAAATTCAAAATCTAAATGTTTTATATATTTTATATTTTGAAGTGGATAAACTTTGCTTTCATACTTAATTACTACCTCGAAATTAAAGTTTTGAATTTATTGAAGTTGTATTTATATTAGATAGGCCCACATGTATATCAATCATGGTCGACAAGTTATCACACGCCCAAAACAGCAGTGGAAAAATTCTATTATATCCATTACATATCACATTGATGTAAGTATCAAATATAATGTCGGTGTTATAATTGGCCACGTCACCGAAACTTTGTTATTAAAAGTTAAAAGCATATTGCTTGGGGTAACACCGAGCTTATATATATGTAAAGACAGTTAATAGTTACAAAATCTCAATGGTAATATGTGTATGCAGAAGCATAGTGTATTTTAATTTTTGTACAAAATATCACATATTTTACCACTCTAAAGACACTGATCTCACTTTGAAATCCAAGATGGCCGTTAACAAATCATCTGACAAATGCAATAATCAAACTCCAAAAGCATATATTTTAACATCAATATTGTCATTCTATGTGTATTAGAAAGGAATTATGGCTGTTAATAAATTTTCGCTTTCCGGTCATTTTGTATTAGAAGTTGTGTTATGAAAATGAATGTCTGTTACTGAATTTTCGCTTGGCCAAGTTGGCCCAGATTTTGGAATTCGAAATCCAAGAATGCCGCCAAAATGACTTATGAGATTAGAGCCATTAGGCTTCAAAAAGTAAATGTCATAATATCAGCTACACATCCTGGTACTTAAATAACGCCTTGTCTAAAATTTTGCATTAAGGAAGCCCTATATTATAATATTTAGGATAAAAAACCGTAAAAATGGACAGGGGCACCAGTGGCACACAATGATGTCATAAATACAATGCTGCAGCATTTTCGTAAAGCCCATTGCTAGTTTCCTATCTGCTAATAATATGTTGAGTTTGTCTAAGATGAATATTTGTGCTACAAACAGGTTAAGATAATATGCATGTGATTTGACGACCATTCGGACCGTCATGGAATTCATGCAAATTTATGCATGTCGTATTGATAAATTTCGGTATTTTCAATTCTAAAGACTGAAGGAACCCTGTTCAACCAGATTTTGCACAAAAAATAAACATTCCTAGAGCAATTTGTTTCTTATATTGATTAGACTAAACGGCCTACTGTGATGATTACGCTTGCGCACCAAATCACGGTAATAAATGACAGCCATTTTTTACCTGTAAGTAAATGTCGGAATTATCTCCTAAGGGCTCTAAAGCTATAGGGACTATATTCAAGACGCTCTCACTCATTCTCACACTTGACAAAAAATTGCCGCCAACCGGAAGTATATACATTGAAACGATGGGTGTAAATAAGATATAAAATGGGTCTTGTGTGAAGGGAAAATATTCAATGAAACAATTCATATAAGGTTGGGATTATGTTTCATTACGGTAAATGGTAGAAAATCATCTGATGGTCGTGACATATCGAATATATATTTATTATTTGTAATTGAACATTGCTGGTAGAGTTTTGTGTTTGACGTTATGCATTTGAAGATATTATGTTGAGCTAGATTTGTATTTGCAGATTTGTATTTGAGGATATTTTTGGCAAGAATTCTCTTAATTCAATAATAAAACGAATGTTTATCGAAGAATGTTAATTTTCAGTACAAAGTATGATATTTGTATACAAATGTTAATTTTCAATAACAAATCGTCGGTCGAGAATTAACTAGTTCTATCTGACAAAATACCCGAAATCAGTTTTTTGGTATTAAAATATACTAGGATTAAGTAGGTTCAAGTACATATAATCGGCTTCCTTATATCTAGTGTTTCTCTCAAGTTATCCACAAAATTACAAAGATGTATCTTGAAATTTGACCCCTTTTTGAGAGTTAACTTGGTGCAACTGAAAAATCCAATCGGATTGCACATTAATGGTCACGTGATCATAACAACAAACATGGCTGACAAAGGCTCTTTGCCTAGAAGAAAACGAGGGAAACCTTTGTCTACTGAAAATATAAAACTACTTTTTCAAGGGTAAGTCATTTTGATTATGTGTCTCAGTATCTTTGATTATAA